GTGAAGACCATCACAGGCCTAAGATGTGCTGGATTTGATGTGGAACAAGGTCATTCTATGCTCTGGCACAGAAAGGAGAATTTTACAGTGCTGCTTCTTCAACATACCGGCTCAATGCGCTTGCCAAAAATATCCCTGCAATGGAACAAGTGCCAAAACCACGGGGCCTGGGAGGCGTTAGGTCTCTCACTTGGGAAAACCATAACACAGCCTTTAATTTCTTTTCGCAGAAGAAGAAAAAGGACAGAAGAGAAAACGAGAACCTGATGATGAAGGAGAAGAAGATGAAGATGATTAAACTCAAAATAATCTGTTGTGGGGAGGGGGTGGGGAATAAATTTCCTACTGTGATTTGACTGTTTCTACCCTGTATTTCACCCCTCCCCCCCCTCCCCGGAGTGTAACGTTGCTGTGGGATCGAGCGGGACATGCATAATTGGGCGGGAGAAGGAATTAAAATATCATTTTTTAAAAACAACAACAACAACCTGCCACTCTTACTTTTTGTTCCTGAATAATTTCCTTTTGTGCCCATTATTAGTTCCTGTTAATGCAATAACAAATATAAAGCAAGTGGTGAATTTGTTTCTTGGAGTGGATCATTCTGGACACAACTTGAGTTTTGTTTTGTTTTTGAAAAGACGAGCGAGTAAATTTCCACATGTGATGCAAAGGTGAGATCTTTGGGGTCCTGAGAATGGCTTTTGCCAGTCTCTAGGCATTTTTTCTTCTACTTCTTCTGGATGCAGCAATTTTTTGCGGTGAAAGCATTCCAGCCACAGCAGCGGGGGTGCAAGCAGCATCTTGATAAAGTGTTTTTCTTTGTTGCCTGTTTGTGAATGGCTGCCGTTCCCAGGAAAACACACACACACACACACACACACACTCTATTTCCTCCACTTCCAGTAGGTATCTTTTTACTTTCGCTGTTTGTAAATAGTGACCAAATACGTAATCTCTTTCCCTGACTCCTGCCCCTTTACCACCATTTGATTTGGTTTGGGGTGGTGACTTTGCAAATCTTCCGTTGTGGGTTCCCCCCATACTTATTATTATTTTTTAGAGCACAAACCACCCCCTGAGGGGAATCTTCCTTGATTTGGAGATGGCCGGGCAGACATTGATTCCCCTTGAGTTGTGCCCTTTCTTTATTTCAGGTATATGGAAAAGTTCTCTGTCAACGGCAGTCATTGAAATATATATATAAAAATATATATAAAAAGTGTTCCTAATTTCCTGAGTTAACTGGTGAAATGAATCTGACAGTTGTAATAAAAAAGAAAATGTTTGAACCCTTTTAACTAAGGTGTGTACTATTTTGGTCTGTAAAATATTATATATATAGATATATTAACACCTCCTTAATGATAAGTGAATGAGAATCTGTTTCCACTTGTGCTCTGTAATACTCTTGAAGATTTTTACAAACCTTTAAATACTGGAGGGGGGTGGGAGACGGACAATGCCGCATGTCTAGCCTAGGCTGGTTTCCTTTCGTACACTCAAGCACGGAATGCTAATTGCAAAAGTTGTATTTTCTTACCATGTTGCGAAGTCATTTAAATTGACTGTGCAACATTCCTAGTTGAATGTACAGTTTTAATTTCATATCCCTCTTTAAAAAGATAGTTAGAAGTGACTTGTATTTCCTAGTCAATATCTCACCTGTGTATAAAAGACAAAAGCAAAAAAAAAAAAAAGAATATTGCAACCTTCCCTCTTGCTCCCCAAAGAGCCAAACTTTTTCAGTTTTATGTCTTGTTTGTCATTGATGAATTTCAATAAATCTTTTTATACAATTTTTTCCCCCTGTGGCTTATTGCTGTAAAACGGGCCACGTCGGAATCCATTCCTCGCTTGTAAAGACGGGTGTTTTTCTGTTTTCATTTTTTGAAGAACCTCATTCTCATTCATTGTTAGCAACACTTAGTGCATTATTTCAAAAGAAATCATGACCGCCTAAGAGGATCCCCCACGTACAGAAGGATGATACCTCTCGAGGGCCAGATGCCATGGAACAATTTGTGTGCACCCATCTCCATGGGACAGACCTTTTCGGTCTGAATCGGCAAGGTGATGCAGATTCATTTTCCATGCCAAGGTAAAGTAATCCCTAGAGTATTGCGGAGGTGCAAGAGACTCCATCAAGGTGTTTGACTTTATGGTGCCTAACTCAGGCAGCTATCTTAAAATAAGATTTTGACCTGGTGCATATGTCCATTTAATGTGCGCAAAGGAAATAGCCAGCCTTATTCGACAAGACTTGTCGTATTTGAGGATTCAAAACTTTATAGAGGCCCCTTCTCCAACCTGCTATCCTGCAGGTGTTTTGAACTGCAACTCCCAGACAGCAGGGCCATGAAAAGATGGGAATTGTAGGACACCAGATGTAGAGAGAAGTTGCTTTAGAGCAGTGTTTCCCAAAGTTGGGACTCTGGCTGTTTTTTTTTGGACTACAACTCCCATCATCCCTACCTAGCAGGACCAGCAGTCAAGGATGATGGGAATTGTAGTCCAAAAACAGCCAGAGACCCAAGTTTGGGAAACACTGCTTTAGAGATTCATCCCTACACGATTCTTTCCCCCAGCCCCATTGCTCAGGACCAGCTTCCCACCGAAGGCAAAGGGAGACTTTATCACCAAATTTGGTTTTGGTATCTTGGTAATTTTTTTTTATTTTGTCACTATTTTTATGGCAGCATAAATAATAAGCGAGTGAAAGCACACTGAAATGGAGCAGGGTGGGGTCAGCGTTAGGCACAGAACACAATGTAAACATTGGTGGCGTGGTGGGGGAACATGGGGAAGTATGTGGGGGGGGCGGGTGGAGAGAAAGCACACCTGTCTTTTGGGATGGTGCTTGGCGGTTAAAGCATGTGTGTGGTGGGGGGCACACACACATGAATGAGCACTATGTGGAACTTCTAGCAACTCGGGTCTAGATTTGGGCTGACTGGGATGCAGAAAGAAATCGGCAGGACTTGGATGTCACTGCATCCAAGAGGGAACTTGAGGTGGCCGACGCATTACAACCTAAAGCCTCACCCTTTCGATCAGCTCATTCTACGGCCACAACACCCTTGCGGAACATTTGCTACATCCAGTTGGCAGTGGTGATGGACAAATTTGGGGTGGTTTCAAGACAGTCTTGGTAGACACATGATTTCTTGCGGCCAACAATCCAAAATGTTCAAATATGACCCCCGGAACTGGATCTACCTTGAGCCTAGCTCTGAGGATCATCTTGGACCAAGTTATAGGTGTTGGCATTTTCAGAGGCCATATTTTTTTTACCAGTTCTGGCCCCAGAAGTCAAATCTCTATATATGTATGTTTGTATTTAAACATAGCAATTCTATATACTGTAGCACTTTCTGAGTGTTCTAGTTGCTTCAAACTCAAATCAATCATAAGGTAGGCCCTAATATATTATCCCCGTAAAGGTAAAGGGACCCCTGACCATTAGGTCCAGTCGTGGACGACTCTGGGGTTGCGGCGCTCATCTCGCTTTACTGGCTGAGAGAGCTGGCGTACAACTTCCAGGTCATGTGGCCAGCATGACTAAGCCGCTTCTGGCGAACAAGAGCAGCGCACGGAAATGCCGTTTACCTTCCTGCCAGAGCAGTACCTATTTATCTACTTGCACTTGAAGTGCTTTTGAACTGCTAGGTTGGCAGGAGCAGGGGGAGCTCACCCCGTTGCGGGGATTCGAACCGCGACCTTTCGAGCGCCAACCCCAAGAGGCTCAGTGGTTTAACCCACAGCGCCACCCGCGTCCCACATTATCCCCCTTTTGCAGACATAATGGCTCACCTACTTTTTATCCTCCCGTTCTAGGGTCCAGATACACGATAGCTCCTTATCGCAGGGTTCCTGCACTCAAGACCACAATGGAGAACTTATTCCAGGATAGTTGCACTGGGGGCAAAGGAATTTCAGTCACGGGACCCTGTCTCTTCACCCCCTGCAGGGGAATGTTAGTGGTCAGGATTCCAAAGGGAAAACTACCCTTACCTAATTTCTCAGCAAGGCGATTGTCTTCAGAAGGAAGGGAATGCCCTAACTAAATACTGAAGCAATCTTACTGCCACTTGGATTTCCCCCCATCATTCACTAAAACCCACAGTGGCAAGTCCCATTTTCATTCAGGAAGTGAAATGCTTTCGGCTCACTCCATTGGCAGGAGGCTCTACCTGTGGTGCCAAATTCAGGATAGATTTACCTCTAGAATATCCGTCTCCAGGACCCAGTTCCCTGGGGCTCTTTCTTCAAACCATTGACCAATTTGGAGCGGATGACTGTAGGAATCCAACCTGAACAGCAATAACGGGCAAGGCAGATTGCTAGGTGATGCTAGGGGCTCATTGCATGGGAATGTTTTTTGGGGGGTGGGGCAGTCTTCTTACCTATAAATCTCAACAGGGGCATGACAGCCAGCACCTTGAAGGTCCCAGTTGCTGTGTGACTCACATTACCCCTTTTGCAGCAAGCACCCATTGGGCAACCTTGCATTTGGGTGGTGCTAGCAGCAACACCTCACCACCCCCAGCATATAAAAGTGAAGTTTGGGGACTCGTCCCTCCCTTTGCTGCCTCACAGCAGTTGCCAATGGTTCGGCCTAGGGTACAGCTTCACCGGCAGCAGCAGAGAACTGAGCTAGCAAATGCATCAGAAGATGCTGGCAGGATCCAGCCAGATTGAAGCATCTTGCAGCCCGAGCCTTGGCATCCATCCACAGCGGGACCTCCTGCCTTCAAGATTTCCTCCTTCCTTGCAGTCCTGTGTCACGGCATGTGTTAATAACCACTATCTGACAGCAAGAGCTGTTTAAGACAGTGGAATGGACCACCTCAGAAGGTGGTGGACTCTCCTTCATAGGAGGGTGCCAAACAGAGATTGGGTGACCATCTGCCAGGGAATCTTCCTGCATTGCAGGGGATTAGACCAGATGACTCTTGGTGGGGGGGGAGAGTGTCCCTTCCAATTCTATGATTCTAGGAGAAAATACAAAGTTCTATAATATGTGAAGGCTTGGGATTAATGGTTAGGAACCAGAGATACAAAGAGCGGGTATCCCCTATAAACTGGTGCCGGCGCCACCTGTTTCGATAGGACAACCAACCAAGGGGTTGATGCATAGAAAAGCCACTGAGCTATGGCTGAAGCAGAGCTGGCCCCACGGTACAAATGATGCCAGTGGCTATGGGGTGGGGAGGTGGGGAATGGCATTTTTTAAGGAATACTGAGAAAGCTGTGCATGGCCTTAACCCCCAACATCCGCTGCAGCATTAAAGGGATCCTGGGGGTTCTGCTCTTTTGCTTGCGCGGCACATTGCGGGGAATTTCCCGGGAGAAGGGGATGAATTAATGTCCAGCTCTCCCATGTACCTTCCAGTTTCATGGACCTGAATTCCAGTTTTGTATCCAGTGTGCATTGTCAGTCACACTTTGCATAGGAAAAAAAAAGAATATTAATAATACTAATCAATGCCATTGCTTCCTGCGGGGCATGCAGATCTCCCTTTTCATTCCTGCTCAAGGATGGAATGGAAAACCGGATGCCCCGCTTAGCTAATCCCGTGACTTGGCGGCATCGGGAAACGCATTGACTCCTCTACTTCCTCCAAGGGAAGCTCGGGCTCTACACGGGTCCCTTTGCTTGTTTCATGCAGTAGTTTTCTCAGTTAACATCATACAGACAACACGTCTTTCTTTTAGTGCTAGGAAATGACCACAGAAGGACACAGTTCCAGTTAGCGGGTGAGCTCCCTGGGGGCTGGCCACGGGGGTCTCTGGCTCATATCGTGTGTTAAGTGGATACAGTAAAATTAAAAGAGTGGGTATAAACAAAGAGTTTGTTTAGAAAATGTCCTTTAGAGTTCATTGTTCTTCGGGCTGTTGCGCAAGTTTTTCAGCTCCAGCTGTAGCTGTCGGATTTTGATGTCCTTCTGCGAGAGCTCAGCTTTCAACCGCCGGATCTCATCTTGTTGCCGGAAGAACATTCGGAGAAGCTTGAAGTTGGGGGGGGGGGGAGGAAGAGAGAGAAAGAGTTGGCCTCCATATTGTGCTGTTGCTTCATTTATTTATGGACCCCCATTGTTCTGCCCGGACACTGAGGTCCAGCGCCGAGGACCTTCTGGCAGTTCCCTTGCTGCGAGAAACCAAGTTACAGGGAACCAGGCAGAGGGCCTTCTCGGTAGTGGCACCCGCCCTGTGGAACGCCCTCCCACCAGATGCCAAAGAGAAAAACAAATACCAGACTTTTATAAGACATCTGAAGGCAGCCCTCTTTAGGGAAGCTTTTAATGTTTAATAGACTATTGTATTTTAATATTTTGTTGGAAGCCGTCCAGGGTGGCTGAGGAAACCCAGCCAGATGGGCGGGGTATGTATGTATGTATGTCTAAATAAATAAAATCCCGTCTTTTCATCCAAGCACCTCAAGGTGGTATACATGGTTCTCCCCTTCCTCATTTAACTCCCACAACAACCCTGTGAGGTAGGCTAGGCTAAGAGGCAGCGATGGGCCCAAGGTCACCTAGCGAGCTTCCTGGCTGAGTGGGGATTTGAACCCTGTTTTTCTGACACTCTGACCAATGCACCATATTGACTCTCAAAAAATTATGGTACTTTGGTATATCATGGCTGGCAAGTATTTGTGAGGGCCATGTACAAAAAAAGCCCTGCTGGGTCAGACTGAAGGTTCATATCGTTCAGCATCCTTTTCCCACAGTTGCCAGCTAGATTCATATGGGAATCCTGGAAGCAGGGCATGAATGCAACAGTACTTTCCTACTTATGATCTGCAGAATCAGATGCATCCTGCCTCTGATAAGAGGAGTAAATAGCCATCGTGACTAGTAGTTGTTGATAGGTACGTCCTCCATGAATGTATCTCTTTTAAAGCTGGTCCTCACTACCTCCTGTGGTAGCAAATTCCACAGTTTCGACTGTGTGGTGTTGTGGTGTGTGTATATAAGTATTTTCTTTTGTCTGTGCCGAATCCTACCAACATTCAGCTTCTGTGAATGACCACACTGGGTTCTAGTATTATGAGAGAGGGAGAGAAAATCCTGTTAAAGTGCTCCCGCCCCCCCCAGCTGAGGGAGCCCCAATGCTTTTCTGGCTTGCAAGTGAGCAAGCTGTGCTCTACCTCCAAGTGAAGCCACCATCATGGTCTGCCCCTCATACTGGTTCTGGGCAATGTATGGGATACATTGCCCAGGCCTAATGATGACAACTCTCCATCTGGACATTGGGTAGCTGTTTTTTCCTTACCTCATTCTCTGTTCTGGGGGGCACGTTTTCTAAGAGGTCGATCCCATTCACAACAACACTCTTCTTCTCTCTCATCGGTGCCTTGAAAACTACTTTCGATGCTTTCTTATAGCCTTCCTTTAAAGACATCAATATGGGATCTAAGAAAAAAAGAAAACAAGAGACAACAAATGCTAAAACAAAATGAACTGGGCTGGAGAGACACTTTTGGGATACGAGCAAATAATCTCTACTATTTTAGCTAAAGGACCAAACGTTTGCGTTCTGTATTTGGGACAATGTGCTGGAACTTTGTGAAGCTGCATTTTACTTTGCAGCTCCTGTGAAACTGCTGCTGAACATCACACGCAATCCAGGAGGTTGCATTGGAGTGGCAATGAAGCAGCCCATAATCTCAGAGGTGCAATTGAAGCTACTGCAAATGTCAGGGTTCTCAAGCTGGGAAAACCCAGGCACCTTTGTTACTATGCCAGCTTTCCAAAAGAGCCTGCCCTCTGTTGAGCTTTAGTGCCACCAGGACTTCTGGTCTGAAAGTGGTACTGCAGTTTCAACCTCAGGTGTGCCCAGGTGACAAAATGGGTCCTACAGAGATCTACCTAGCTCTATAAGGTTTTGAACAGACTGGCTCTTCAGTTAGATTCTCAATTGCTTTAACAATCACATTCCTCATTCTATATTTTAATATGGCAGGGAGATGGGAAAGGTCCAGCATTTCAACTGATTCCACTGGGGAGAGAAACAAAAGAGTATGACTTAGTCACAGATCAGTCTTCACCATTTCCAGATGTTGAAATGGCAAATGCCCAGACTTCAATGCTTGGAAATATTAGGGATTTCAAGCAGTGTTAGCCATGTTTTGCTTGAAGTCAAATTTCTGACCACTTTAAAACTTTTTTTTTTTAACCTAGGTGGTGTGTGATTTTCCACCAGGTTGCACACCACAAAATTGCAGAGCTACTGCATTTACCCCGGTTCGTTCCACTCAGCCATTCATCCGGTGTGAGAGCAGGCTCTGTTCCCGGAGTCATTGGGTAAATATCTTCCTGGTATGTTTCCGACTAGAATGCAGAAGGAAGAGAAACAGCATATTTGAAATAATTAGTAAAGGACTTCCAGAGCGGTGGTGGTGTTCTGGGACGGATGCCCCCTGGCAGGCAGCAAACACATAATGCTGTTGGCATCAGCATACTAATAATAAAAATTTATTATTTATACCCCGCCCATCTGGCTGAGTTTCCCCAGCCACTCTGGGCAGCGCCCAATCAAGTGTTAAAAACAGTACAACATACCAATCTGTATCCCCACCATCACCAAATAAAATCTAGATTTATCTTTCCCAAGAAAAATTCAATAAGTAACACACGCACCGGCAATGACCCAGTTGCAAACAATCATTTAACAGTGGTTCCCGAACCATTTTGGGCACCCACCCCCTTGGTTCCATAATCGTAAGCTGCCCAAAGTGGCTGGGGAAACCCAGCCAGATGGATAGGGTATTACTACTACTACTACTACTATTATTATTATTATTATTATTATTATCTCATCATCAGTCCCCCCACCCCAATTTAAAAGTGATAGGAGCAGTAAAACCTTAAATACAAAACAAGGAAGTTTTTTTTGTTCCAGGTTCTAGTCCTGTCAACCATAAATAAGCAATCAATGTGTTTTGTTTGGAGGGGCCCACTTCCAGTGCCCCCCTTCTGCACCCTCGCCTCTTGGGGCCTCATTGCCCCCCCCCAAGGGTGGTACCACCCACTTTGGTAACTACTGCTTTATAATATTAACCTTGTCTGTGAGCCACTAAGTTCCATTATGCCCTCTCCCCCCAAAAAAATCAAAAAGATTTTTGATGCTATGGCAGTAATTAAACTACTCAACCCCCATCCCAAAAACAAGGAGCGGACATTTATCTCAGCAGCAGCACAAACTTTTGGCTCATTCTCTGCGCCAAGCGAAGCCATAAGCATTGCAACATAGCAGGTTAACCCCATTTCTCAGATTGCAGCTTGGGATGAAGGCTGCGCATCCCTTTTGCCCCGAAGATCTGGCTCCACGCTGCTGCAGGAAAAGAGCCCATGCAGCCGGGAGCTCAGTGTGTTTGTGGTCTGAAAGGAGAGGCAATAAAGGCAGGAGAGGCTTACTAGAAGGCATTTGGGCTTGCGGAGTGTGGAGAAAAATGACTACGAGTGAGGGGAATGGACGTGCGGGGCTTTGTGCAGAAATAATGGGACAGAATCGCAACCTTCCTTTACAACACCAAAACATAGGGAAATGCAACTGAGCATAACTGCCAACTCCCTGGGGCCCTGCATTGCCACCCACAAAATTCCCCATGAAGGAGCTGGGCACCCACAAATTTGGGTGCCAGGGCCATGCACGTTGCATGGCACCCACACCCCTGGGGGCACCCACGGTTGTCTCCTGCCTCACTGCCTCCTGCGGAAGCAAGTTCCATCGCTTGAGGCAGAGCAGGCTTCTCCAACCTAGGACCCTATAGCAGCAACCCCCATGCCCCCATGCCTCTGCCAATCTCTGAGCAGGGTGGTCAGAGCTTGGCAAATCCCACATGGCTCCTTTTCACCTGCCAAGGCCACTTGGAGGTGGCACATCAGCCAAGGGAGCTTCAAGGCTGCCATGGTTTGAGGTGGAATTTAACAGCGTAAGAAATTTCAGGTTGTACCGTTGAGTGCTGGTTTGGTGTTGTTGTGCAGTAAAATTGGGAAGTGGCAATGAAACACCCTGAAAATAGGAGCTAACTTGATGTCCTCTAGCAGTCCCACAAGCAAATCAGGATGATGCTCAGTAAACAGGTCATCTGGAAGCAACCACAGTTGTGTGAACTGGACCCAGGGTTCAAAGCCTCAGTCCCACCACACATTTAAAGCACATGGCTCCCCTCAAAGAATCCTGGGAACTATAGTTTTCCCCGTACCATGCTACAGTTCCCAGCATTCTTCACAAACTACAGTTCCCAGGGTTCTGGGTGTGTGTGTGGTGAATTCCTGTGTATGGCATGTAGGCAGCCTTAGAGAGCAAACCTGCTTCCTGTGTGGGCCAGATTACTCACCCTCCTTGGCACGATCATGGAGATGGGCTCAATCAGCCCTTTTAATGTGATGAGCTTATAGAACCGGAACACCTCGCAGGCAGAGACATCCAGGCCATGCTTTGGCATCACTCCTACAAACACAAGGAATAGGAAGAAGTGATGCTTGTTGTCCTATAAAGGTAAAGGTAAAGGGACCCCTGACCATTAGGTCCAGTCGTGACCGACTCTGGGATTGCGGCACTCATCTCGCTTTACTGGCCGAGGGAGCCGGCTTACAGCTTCTGGGTCATGTGGCCCGCGTGACTAAGCCACTTCTGGCGAATCAGAGCAGCGCACGGAAACGGCGTTTACCTTCCCACCGGAGCGGTACCTATTTATCTGTTCAGTTTCTGTTAATTGGTTCTCATGGGAAACTTGCAGATTCTTGCTTCGCACAATTAACTCAGGGCAGTGTCAATTTACTCTTGGCAGAAAGCCCAGGTCTGCTTGACCTAGAAACTACTTACTCTGATTGGTTAACGACCAGCACTCAACTCTGTTATCAAGGGATTGCTAGTTCAGTTTGATGTGAGGTGTGTTAGGAGTAGAAGTGCTGTGTATGGTTTTGAGAGAGAGAAAGAGAGGATTTATTTTGCTTTTATTTGTATGCAGAAACTCTGCTGGTTTTATTTTTTCCTTTTTTAATAAATCCTGTAAATAGTTATTCTGAGTCTAGCTGACTAGTCATTACCGCCGCAACTAGCTTCCTCGCTGTGCAGGAAAACTCTGCTAGGTTTGGGCTAAAGCCAATAGGGCTATGCCTGACACTTCAAAGTTCCATGAGGTTATGGGCATTGTGCTGCCAGCCTGAGTTGCGGTGGTGTCAGCATCAACGGCGTTGGTTCCAGTAGTTCCAGAAGTTGTTGTTCCTGTTGGACACTGGCTGGTTCCTGACTGTGGTGAGCTGGTGACGCAGCGGGCACAAGGACAACAGCTGCAGCGTGTGAGTGCTGGGTGCTGTGGTTCCTGTTTTCTCTCTCGGTGGTCGTGAGTAGCTGGTTCCGGGTTCCAGGGACATCGCTCTCAAGATGGCCTCACAACCAGTTCAGATGGCTTTTGAGCGTCTGAATGACTCCAATTACTTGCTGTGGTCGAAACGCATGCAGGCAGTGCTGCAGAGGGATCGTCTCTGGCAAGTGGTGAGTAAGTTTCCTGTGAAGCCTGATGATGAAGACCTCGATAAAGACCAAAGAGCAAGGGCCACAATTGTCTTGGGGCTGGAAGATTCCCAGTTGCCGTATGTGAGGGGAATCAAGACAGCTAGAGGTGTGTGGCAAGCACTTAAAGAACTCCATGTGCGTGAGACAGCGGTTTCCAAGCTGTTCATTCGCAAGGCATTGTACAAGGCAATGTTACAGCCTGGGGTTACAATGCAGGAACACCTACACAGTTTACAGTTAAAGTTTGCTGCGCTACAGGAAAGAGACTGTGCGTTAGACCAGCAGGAGAAGGTGGCTATTATTTTGAGTTCTCTCCCGGAAAGCTGGGATAATTTAGTTTTGTCTCTAGAAGGCATGCAGGAGCATGATTTATCAGTCAGTTACGTTACTGGGCGTTTGATTGAAGAATGGCAGAAGAGGCAAGAAAGGTCGTTGGCTGCAGAGGCTTCTACAGGCGGGCGGTTTGGAAGGAGTTCTCATGCCGTGCCAGAGGTGAAGCAAAAGCAGCGTACCGGTGAGGAGTCAGCGTTTGCTGTTAGGCGTTGTTTCCGATGTGGGTCTTCAGCACATCTAAAAGGACAATGTCCGGAGTTGGTCAAGTCTCAGTTGCCGGTGCAGGAGCAGAGACGAGATCAGCAGCAGCGTAAAAAGAAATTCTTCAAACGAAAACAGTCGGCTCAGCTGGTGACTGGCGAGGTCAAGATTGCTGATGAGAAACAAGCGGTCTGGGTGGTCGATTCGGGAGCATCTCGCCACATCGTAAATTCAGATGAATTGTTTGTTTCCAAGAACTCAGCACAGCGCAGCCAGGTGGCTCTAGCAGACGGAAGTACTTCCGAAGTGATTTCGGGGGGTGCAGTTTTTGTTCCTTGTCTTCGTGAATGCCTGCAAAATGTACTTTGTGTGCCGTCATTAAGGAGCAATCTGATGTCTGTAGATTGTTTGCTAAAAGCCGGGTTTAAAGTGTATTTTGAAGGAGACAGTTGCATTATTAAGAAGGCTGGTGAGATTTTAGGCACTGCTAAGTCAGAGGGAGGCTTGTTTTGGCTTAAAGCAGGATCTCAAGTTGCAGCAGTAGTCAGTAAATCTCAGCCTGCAGTGAATAACAAAGCTATACATGACAACTGTGTGCACTTATTGCATAGGAAAATGGGGCATGCTTGCTGGAAAAGTGTACTAAAAATGTCTGAATTGGCTGATGGGGGTAATTTAAAGAGTTGTAACAAGTACCTTGATTGTAATGTTTGTAAAAAGGTCAAAACCCACAGAGTCTCTTACCCCAGAAGTGACAGAGTTAGTGAGTCACCGCTACAGCTGGTTCACATGGACGTAATTGGTCCATTTGCTGTAAGCAGGGGTGGATCGCGTTTTTCACTAACAATTGTTGATGACGCCACGCGTTACTCTTGGGTTTTTCCCATGAAAAATAAGGGTGACGTGTTCACTAAGTTTAAAGGCTGGGTGGCATCTGTGGAAAGATTTCTGTCCATTAAACTCAAAAGGATTCAGACGGATAGAGGTGGCGAATTTATGTCAAATGCTTTTAGAGATTGGTTACAAAAGCGTGGCATTGGGCATAGAAAAATGAACGTTTTTCCCCCAGAGGAGAATGGCGTTGCAGAGCGAAAAAACAGATCTTTACAAGATATGATGTTTGCCATGCTTGATGATGCTGATTTGCCCATGTCTTATTGGGGGGAGAGCATGCTCACCGCGTGTTATCTCCAAAACAGGCTCTTTCATCAAACAATAGGTACAACCCCGTACTTTAAATTGTTTCAGAAAAAACCCAAAATTGACCATTTGCATGTGTTTGGATCAAAAGCCTGGGTATTAATTCCGAAACAAATGAGGAAGAAGGGAGATCCTAAGACCAAACAGTTAGTGTTTGTGGGTTACCAGGAGCTGGGAAAAGGTTTCCGCTTTGCTGAAGGGACAAATGGCATTGTGATCTCCAGGAATGCCAGTTTTTGTGAACATAGTGGCTGGGAGAGACTACATGCCAATACTGAGGTTTGGTTTGAACCTTCCCAGGAGCTTCATGACTCTGAAGGTAAACATAGAGAATCAGAGTCTGAGGGGGAGGAAAGTTCAGATAAGAGCTCTCAAGAAAGTGGAGTTAGCCAAAGACCAGTTGCTAAGCAACAAAAGAGAGATCGTAGTTCTGAGGAGGAAAGTGGGTCAAAAGAAAAAATTTCTCCCAGAAGATCTAAAAGACAAAACAAAGGAGTGCCTCCGGTGCGTTTTTCCCCAGATACTGCAAATGTGTTTAGTGTAATTGCAGAACCCAAGAGTTTTCAGGAGGTGTTAAAGTTACCAAAAGAGGAGGCAGAGCGCTGGAAACAGGCAATGGAGGAAGAGATGTCCTCTCTAAATGAGCACAAGGTTTTTACACCAGTAGCAGCGCCTGAGGGGGCAAAGATTGTAGGCTGCAGGTGGGTGTACAAACTTAAACCTCTGGTGACAGGAGAGTACAAATACAAAGCTCGTTTAGTGGCTCAAGGATACTCTCAGAGGCCTGGAAAAGATTGTGACGAGACTTTTCCCCCTACTGCTAAGGGGGACAGGGTAAGGCTGATTTTAACGCTTGGAGCAAAGAGAAAACTCCTGTTAAACCATTTTGACATTCAGACTGCATATTTACATGCATCAATATCAGAAGACCTGTATCTAGCCGAACCGCCTGGTTATGAGACAGGTTCCAATAGAGTGTTGAAATTAAACAAAGCTCTATATGGTCTCAAACAGGCTGCAAGATCTTGGAACAAATGTTTCCATGAGGCCTTAGTGTCATTTGGTTTCAAGCAGAGTACAGCTGACAATTGTGTTTATGTACGTGGTACAGGCAGTGATCAAGAGTTTTGTCTGATTTATGTAGATGATGTTTTGTATGCCTGCAAAACAGATAAACAAACTAAAAGGTTTGCCAAGCAATTGTCCAGTAAGTTCAAAGTGAAAGACTTAGGCCTGGTTAGGATATATCTAGGGTTGGAAGTGTGCTGGGCCCAAGATGGCAGCTGCCTAATTAGTCAGCAGAACAAAGTTAAACAACTACTGACTACATACAGGATGCAGGATTGCAAAGGGGCAGTGGTGCCTATGGATCCAGGTTTCATAAAAACACTTCATATAGATGAGAGTCCTGAATTTGAACATCCTGATGTATATCACTCTGTAATTGGAAGTTTATTGTATATAGCACAGTGGTCCAGACCTGATATTAGCTATGCAGTAGGCATATTAAGTAGATTGGTCTCAAAACCCACACTAAATGCCTGGAAAGGGGTAAAACAAGTTCTGAGGTATCTCAAACAGACAATTGGCTATATGTTACAATTAAATTCTTCAGAGGATGAAATGTTGAGTTGCTACCGTGATAGTGATTGGGGAAATTTGCCGGATAGAAAATCTGTCACAGGACTGGTCATAATGGTCGGTGGAGCTTTAATCAGCTGGCGGTCACGCAAGCAAGACGTTGTAAGTGTGTCATCAACGGAATCAGAGTACGCCGCATTGAGTGAATTGTGCAACGAGGTGATTTATTTCAAGCATTTGTTAGCAGATTTAAATGTAAATTGTGGAGAACCAGTACAAGTTTACATTGATAATCAAGCTTGTATAACCTTAAGTAAAACAGAGGGTTTCAAATCACGTTCCAAACATATCTCTGTAAAATACCAAAATGTACGTTGCTGTGTACAAGACAATGTAATCACCTGTACTTATGTATCAAGTGAAGAAAATGTAGCAGATGTATTAACTAAACCACTGGCAAAGATAAAGAACAAGCGAATGTGCAAGGGTTTAGGTTTGCTGGAAAAATGATCTCCTACATAGGTGTATTTGATGTTAATTGTCCAGCAGAATCTGTGAGGGGGTGTTCAGTTTCTGTTAATTGGTTCTCATGGGAAACTTGCAGATTCTTGCTTCGCACAATTAACTCAGGGCAGTGTCAATTTACTCTTGGCAGAAAGCCCAGGTCTGCTTGACCTAGAAACTACTTACTCTGATTGGTTAACGACCAGCACTCCACTCTGTTATCAAGGGATTGCTAGTTCAGTTTGATGTGAGGTGTGTTAGGAGTAGAAGTGCTGTGTATGGTTTTGAGAGAGAGAAAGAGAGGATTTATTTTGCTTTTATTTGTATGCAGAAACTCTGCTGGTTTTATTTTTTCCTTTTTTAATAAATCCTGTAAATAGTTATTCTGAGTCTAGCTGACTAGTCATTACCGCCGCAACTAGCTTCCTCGCTGTGCAGGAAAACTCTGCTAGGTTTGGGCTAAAGCCAATAGGGCTATGCCTGACACTTCAAAGTTCCATGATTATCAACTTGCACTTTGACATGCTTTCAAACTGCTAGGTTGGCAGGAGCAGGGACCAAGCAACGGGAGCTCACCCCGTCACAGGGATTCGAACTGCCGACCTTCTGATCGGCAAGCCCTAGGCTCTGTGGTTTAACCCACAGTGCCTGTACATAACAGAAAATCAAATCCTTGGAGAGGTTGCAAGGCGACCCTCTATCATGGCATCTAAGTGACACAGCAGTTCCGCACGATTTTCTGTTTCCTTTTATTTTATCTCCTCAGAGATCTTCCTGCTGCTCCCCACCCCCTGGCTAGGTAAACCCCCTGCTCCTTGCACCAACCTGTTTCTATAAAGTAGGCCAGCCACTGTCCTTAGCTACTGGCCCTCTGATCCAGTGTCCTGGGAATGTTCATAAACATTCCATCTCCAGAGGGGAAAGGGCTCGGCACACAACTGTCACACACAGCGGAAGAGGAAGGGTCGGTTTGGCCTGAGGGGAAGACCGGCTGCCAGAACTTTATTTGGGGTGGGGGAAGAAAGTCTGGGGCTGAGCATGCCAAGATGTTGGAAAGGCAGGGAGGACAAGGACTGGGGAGAGCGTCAGGGAGGCAGCAGACCTGCAGGAGGAGGCTGAAGAAAGGGGCAGAGTAGTTAGAGGAGGTGTGGGAGTCTGTGACTATGCTGGGGGAAAGAGGGCAGAGCAGATGAAATAACATAAGAAGAGGCTTCTGGATCAGGCCAGTAGCCCATCAAGTCCAGCAACCTGTTTGCACCATGACCAAATGACCCTAAGAACCTAGGTATCCAGATAGACTGCCTCCAGGTCTGGAGGTTTCACAAGAGCACCAGAAGAGCCTTGCTGGATCAGGCCAATGTCCCATTGATTTATTTCATAAAAATTCACAAGCCGCTTGGTTGTTAAAAAAACAAACAAACCTCAAAGCGGTTTACAAAAAGAAAAAATCAAGAAAAATGTACAACCCTACTTTAAAAAATCTGAAAGTAAAAATACTGAAACAGATCAGAGTTGCCTCAGCTTCCTAAGCCTCTGGGCAGGCTTGTCTAAAAGGAATGTTTATAGCAGGTGCCAAAAAGAGTACAGTGGTACCTCAGGTTAATAACTTAATTCGTTCCGGAGGTCCGTACTTAACCTGAAACTGTTCTTAACCTGAAGCACCACTTTAGCTAATAGGGCCTCCTGCTGCCGCCGCGCCGCCGGAGCACGATTTCTGTTCACATCCTGAAGCAAAGTTCTTAACCTGAGGTAATATTTCTGGGTTAGCGGAGTCTGTAACCTGAAGCGTATGTAACTGAGGTACCACTGTACAGTACAAAAATAGTCCAATATTTGGTTCTCACAGTGGCCAACCAGATGCCCCGATTCAGAGCCTGTCTCCAATTGTGGAGACAGAGCACAGCCATCGTGGCTAGTAGCCACTGACTAGTCCAAGGAAAGACGCTGCCTCCCTTTGAGGCTGTAGCGCAGACGGTAAGCACCCCTTACCGAGGCCTTTTTGTGGAGCTGGAGAACGGAATTCCATGAGGTAAGTGAGGTATGGCTTCTCTGTACTGATTTCATAGTAGCGGATATTCCCATCTCCCTAGGGGCAGAGAGAGAGAGAGAGAGAGAGAGAGAGAGAGAGAGAGAGAGAGAGGTGTGAATCAGTGGGACTTTTGTGAATATTGGGGTCGGAGGAGAGAGCACTGCACAGTTTAGGTCATAGCAGAGCCTTCTCCAACCTGGTGCCTTCCAGGTTTCTTGGCCTACAACTCCGACCAGCCTCAGTTTAACATAGTGGTGCCAGTAGGCGCTGTGGGGAGTTGTAGTACAAAACATCTGGAGGGCTCCAGGTTGGGGTGGTTGTCATAGGAACTCTGACTTGGCCCACCCTTAAAAGCATGGATGGCCCTCTGTCAGGGGATTGGACTAGATGAACCTCAGGGTCCCTTCTAATTCTACCATTCTATGAATCTGGGTGCTGTCTTGTTTTTGCTTACAACAACCCTGTGAGGTATTCTGCCTTTATCCCCATTTTCTAGCAGAAGGACTGAAGGTTGTAGGACAATGACATGGCTGGAGCCCCAATTAACACTCTATAATCTCCACAGTGCTCAAATTGGGATGGATCCATTTCTAGTCAGCCTAGATTCAGTTACATCCACTGAAAAGAAGCGGGCTGGTTTCAGGTCTGCCGGGAAATGGAGAATGTCCTCCATACATCTGAATGGAAACAAGGCATATTAATTTCATTAAAACCTGTTTCTGAGTATGCATGCTCAGGATCTCAGCCCTAAAAGACCAAAATTTAGAATAAAAAAGTGTACAGTTGGAAGGGACCCCTATGGTCATCTCGTTCAACCCCTGCAATGCAGGAATCACAACTAAAGAATCTCTTTAGAAACCACCAGCGAAGGAGAATCCACCATCTTCTGAGGGAGTCCATACTACTGTCAAACAGCTCTTACCGTCAGAAAGTGCTTCCTAATGTTAAACTGCAATCTCCTTTCTTGCAATTTGACTCCATCAGTTCAGGTCCTATCCTCTGGAGCAGCAGCAAACAAGCTTGCTCCATCTTAATATTAGTAAAATAGCAGTAGTAATAGTAATAGTAATTATAATATCTGACAACTCTTCAGATATTTGAAGTTGGCTGCCAAATTGCCTCTCAATCTTCTCTTTATACAGTCAAACCTCGGTTGTTGAACATAATCTGTTCTGGAAGCCCATTTGGCTTCCGAAATATTCAACAACCAAGGCGCGGCTTCCAATTGGTTGCAGGAGCTCCTTGCACTCAAACAGAAGCCACATTGGACGTTGGGCTTCCGAAAAACGTTCAAAAACCAGAGCATTTACTTCCAGGTTTTCGGCGTTTGGGAGCTGAAACGTTCCAAAATAGAGGCCTTCAGGAGCCGAGGTTTGACTGTAGATTTAAATCTACAGCAACACAAATTGCTTTGGCTAAGCATCTAGATGAACCAATGAACGCCTTTTAAAAAACTACTTTGAGGGAAATGGCTTGTTAATTTTTTTAGTCCAAGGGAGTGACTATGAAGTGACTCCAGATATACGTTGGTTCATAGTGTGTACCTAATGGCAAGATACAGAAACTTTGGGATTCTGTAGCCAAAGCCCACTCCCCCATGCCAAAAGCATTTTGTGCCCACACACCTTGCCAGCCAGGTACAGCATGTGGGTATCAGCATCGTAGAAAGGGAAGAGGAGTCCAGACAGCCCGTCAATCTCCTCCTCTATTAAGGGCATGGCGAGATCTTCCTGCAGAAATCAAAGATATTCTTGTTGGTTTTTTAAGAAAATAAAAATAGCTTTCAAACCTGATGCATTTATAACCTTGACACTAGGAATGTTATTACAAATGTGAAGAAAGGTGTCTTTTTAAAAAGCTGTGGCCATCCTTCCCTAATCTGCTGCCCTCAATATGCTTTTCGACTACAACTTTGGGCCAGTCATTGCCTTTCAGCCTAACCTACCTCCCAGGGTTGTTGTGAGGATAAAATGGGGAGGAGAAATATGTATGCCACCTTGAGAACCTTGGAGGAAAGTTGGGATATAAATAAATAAAGATTTCTTCTCTCAGGGCTTGGTCCCAAAAAGGGATGATTGAAAAATACGATTTTTTAAACTATATAATTATTTATTATGTTTGTTAGTTGCTTTATCTTGCCCATGGCAAATTACAAAGTGATTTACAACCGAAACAAAACAAAAAACCCCACACAGATATATTAAAACCAAAAACATCCCTCTGACATCAGAAAGGTCACAGATAGTTCAAGGCCAAAGACCTGCTTATCTAGGAAAGTTTTTGCTTGGCACCTAAAGATATATACAGTGGTACTTCGGGTTAAGTACTTAATTCATTCCAGAGGTCCGTTCTTAACCTGAAGCAGTTCTTAACCTGAAGCACCCTTTAGCTAATGGGGCCTCCCGCTGCCACCACACCGCCGGAGCACGATTTCTGTTCTCATCCTGAAGCAAAGTTCTTAACCTGAGGTACTATTTCTGGGTTAGCGGAGTCTGTAACCTGAAGCGTATGTAACCCAAGGTGCCACTGTAATGAGCGTGCCAAGCGAGCATCCCTGAAGAGAGCATTCTGCAAACAGGGAACCACCACTGAAAAGGCCTGTTCTTGCATTACCACCCTCCAGAATAAGTAAATAAATATCATGGCCTGACCTGATCCCAGAGGGCAATCTGCCTCGTGTTCCACCGCGAGACTCCAGTTGTTAGAAGCCGCTTCATGTTTCCTAAAAAGACAACCCGGTTCACGCGATGGTTCTTACAATTCGCCTCCTGGAAAGACAACCAAGATTTACCCAGCCAGGCAGCTACACTCCTGGCAGCCTCCAGCTCCCCTCTTCAAATCAATCACAAAGTTTCAGAGTTGGCAGTCTAGTCCAAAAGTCTAGTCCAACCCCCTTCAATGCAGGAATCACAGATCAAGAATCCCTGACAGATGACCATCCAACTGCAGCTTAAAAACTTCCAGTGAATGAGAGCCCACCACCTTCTGTGGGAGTCCATTCTACTGTTAAATGGCACTTAAAGTCAGAAAGTTCTTCCTGATGTAGGAATCTCCCTTTCTGTAATTTGAATTTATTGGCTGGGGTCCTGCCCTCTGGAGCAGCAGAAAGCAAGCTTGCTCCATCTTCCATGTGACAACACTTCAGATTTTTGAAGATGGCTGTCAGATCCTCTCTCCATCTTCTCTTCTCCAGGCTAAACATACCCAATTACCTCAACCATTCCTCATAAGGCTTGGTTTCCAGACCCTTGGTCATCTTTTCAATATCCTTCTTAAGCAGTAGTGATCAGAACTGGACACAGGACTCCAGGCTTGGTCTGACCAAGGCAGGATAGAGTGGTACTATGACTTCCATTGATCTGGACACTAGACTTCTGTAGGCAATCGATTAAGGCAGCTTTCCCTGCTGTGCTCCAGATGTTTCGGATCACAATTCCCATCCATCCCAGCTGAGACAGTTGGGGCTTATGGGAGTTGTAGTCCAAAACATCAGGAGAGCACCAGGTTGGGAAAGGCTGGCTTACCATTCTTTCAGATACGCCACTCAAAAGCCTCACTTTTCATTTCATCCAATGCAACTTGTGATTAATAAAAGATTAAAGCTAGACGTAAAAACATGGCAGACAGTGAATTCTTTCTGTTCCCTCTGTTGAAATTGTGTTTATCTGCAGTCAAAATTTGCACGTTGACATTTGGGGGGTGGGAAATATTCTAACCATGAGATCAAGAAGTTAAAAATATTTTTTTTTTGAAAAGGCTGCTTTCTTAGGAGATAGGCACATGCTTATAAAAAGATTGCTTTTGGAAACTTCATTGTCGGAAGAAGTAGCTGTGCATTCTTACCGACAAAAAGGTATCCAACAAGGACAGGGACCAACTTGCTTTTCCTGCCTTAGGAGAGGAGGCAATTTTTACACCAACGATGGTGCAATTTAGGTGGAGGTTGCAAAACATACAGGACATGAATCAATTGTAATCGGTAATTTCTTGGCTTAAAAAACAACAACCTTAAAGCTGCTCAGGGGAGCCCCTCTGTTTCTGAGCAGTTTCTTACACCCCTATGCCTTTTCTTTAATCCAAATGGCACCCCCCCCCAAAAAGCCGCTATCCACACTGCAGGCATAATTGTTGTTTTGGTGGGGCATTCAGACCGGAAAAATAGGAAAACTGATGGGAGTTTTAATCTGTTTCTAGTTTCACTGTTGGTTTAATTTTCCAAAGGTCTTAAATTGTCACTGATTCCTCTTGTTGATAATTTTATTGCTCTTTCTGTTTTGTAAACTGCTCTACTTGGAAGGTTCTTTTTTTGCCATCAAGCGGTGTATAAATTCTATGAAATAAATAAATAAATGCAAACAAATAACATAAAAGCATAAGAAGAGCCTGGATGGCTGGATTAGACCAGTAGCCCATCTAGATGTCCAGCTGTGGCCAACCAGATGTCCCAGTACAAAGCCAGTCTGCAGTCAGGGCCTCTGCACCAGAGCAACCTCCCAGCAATTGTGTTCAGATTCATGCCGCTTCTCACCGCAGAGGCAGAGCAAAGCCATTGTAGCTAGCAGTAGGCATAGACAGCCTGATCCTCTTTGAATCTGCCTAATTCTCTTTTAAAGTAATCCAGGCTGGTGTCCATTGCTACATCCTGCACCCCCTCCTCCCAGAGTTGTTGTCCTGATAAAAACTGGGCATGCGCACCCCCTTCTGTGGCTGATTTAAAAAACAACAACAGTCAGGACGTTGGATGATGGCTCTCTGCCAATGCCTCTCTCTTTTGACCCTTATAAGAAGCTCCTTGCCTGGAGGACTTTGCCGGAGCGCGGCTCAATGACGCGGAGCTTCTTGTCTTTGCAAGTGGTGGCCAGCAAACTCCCGTCGGTGTTGAAGGACATGCAGAGGATGACGTCGGTGTGGCAGTCAATCATCTTCACAGGCTCACCGATGTCCAGGTTCCAGATGAGAACCTAACAAGGACAGGAACGCAAAACAAAGGTCAGCCTTCCCACCACTGGGGAGAGAGCCAGTGTGGTGTAGTGGTTAAGAGCGGTGGACTCGTAATCTGGTGAACCGGGTTCGCGTCTCCGCTCCTCCACATGCAGCTGCTGGGTGACCTTGGGCCAGTCACACTTCTCTGAAGTCTCTCAGCCCCACTCACCTCACAGTGTGTTTGTTGTGGGGGAGGAAGGGAAAGGAGAATGTTAGCCGCTTTGAGACTCCTTAAAGGGAGTGAAAGGCAGGATATCAAATCCAAACTCTCTCTCACTGGCTGCAACGTTTTGCTTACTGTTGCGTTCATACCCCACCTTTTTCTCCATGGTTCTTCCCCTCCTTATTTAGTCCCAACAACAACAACAACCCTGTGAGGTAGGTTAGGCTGAGAGGCAGTGACTGGCCCAAGGGCACCCAGCGAGCTTCAAGGCAGAGTGGAGATTCGAACCCTGGTCTCCCAGGTCCTAGACCAATGCACCACTACACACCACACTGGCTCTCATGCATGAGGGCGACTTTGCCCAGCTCACCTTGTAGTCATAGCCGGCACTGAACAGGATGTTGTTGGTGGTCGGGTGCCACTCAACAAGGCCGACGCGCCGGCTGTGCCCGTACAACTCCAGGACCGCCTCCATCATGTTGCGCTTCAGTCCTCCGTCTGGAATTTCCCATATCCGAACCTTGAAGGACATGAGAGCAAAAGGATGCTGTGAGGAGGGTTTCTTTGTCAACTCAGCGGCTTGCCTGGATGAAGTAGGTTTGTTATACAGTACACACACACACCCGAAACATTCTGCTACAGTAAATATGCTTTTAAAATGTCTCAGGACCCATGGGCCACACTCACACCATACTTTATTACTGTTATTATTAACAAAAAATGGCAAGCATAGTAAACAAACAGAAACAAAGAATGAAAAATGTAAACCATAAAGCATCACAGCCTTGTTAGAAGCATGGGAACCTAAGAACCTGCTAAGCATTGTCAGCACTGACTGGCAGTGGCTCTCTTATTATTATTATTATTATTATTATTATTATTATTATTATTGGTCAAGGGACCCCTGACCATTAGGTCCAGTCGCGGCCAACTCTGGGGTTGCGGCGCTCATCTCGCTTTATTGGCCGAGGGAGCCGGCGTACAGCTTCCGGATCATGTGGCCAGCATAACTAAGCCGCTTCTGGTGAACCAGAGCAGTGCACGGAAACGCTGTTTACCTTACCGCTGGAGCGGTACCTATTTATCTACTTGCACTTTGACGTGCTTTTGAACTGCTAGGTTGGCAGGAGCAGGGACCGAGCAATGGGAGCTCACCCCATCGCGGGGATTCGAACCGTAGACCTTCTGATCGGCAAGTCCTAGGCTCTGTGGTTTAACCCACAGCGCCACCCGTGTCCCATTATTATTATTACCCAGCCCATCTGGCTGGGTTGAGCTTTCAACACATATAAAAACATAATAAAACGTCAAACATTAAAAACTTCCTGATACAGAGCTGCCTTAAATTCAAGTATTGTAGTTCTTTATCTCCTTGACATCTGATAGGAAGGCATTCCAACATTTCAGGCAAGCCCTACATGGAGATACCATTGGAGATTCAACTTGGGGCCTTCTGCCTGCAAGACTGGTGCTCTGTAGCTGAGCCACCACTGTCCCCTTAGCACACATAAGTATGGGAAGCTGCCTTCCTATATTGGTCCTTCTGGCTCAGGATTGTCTGCCCTCACTGGCAGCAGCAGCTGTCCAGGATTTTAGGCAGGGGTCTTCGTCAGCTCTATGAAGGTGTTGAATCTTGGCATTCGCCCTCCTTCAGCATTTCCACCACACCAGCTTCTGTTGCCGGTATGAAGCTGAATGGAGTTGTTGTCAGCTTGCAGATTAAGGACAGAGCTCTAGGTCCTTTAGTACAATGAAGTGATGATAATAATAATAATAATAATAATAATAATAATAATAATAATAATTTTATTTATACTCAGCCCTCCCCAGCCAGGGCGGCTAACACCAGTAAAATTACAATAGAAACATAATTGGGGGGGGGGGGACAACAACAGCACAATTTAAAATACAGGTTAAAATGCAATTTAAAATGCAGCCTCATTTTAAAAATAGTCCATAGATCAAAACCGTAAGGGGAGGGAAAACATAAGGGTCAGACTGAGTCCAAACCAAAGGCCAGGTAGAACAGCTCTGTCTTGCAGGCCCTGCGGAAAGACGTCAAGTCCCACAGGGCCCTGGTCTCTTGTGACAGAGCGTTCCACCAAGTCGGGGCCAGTACTGAAAAGGCCCTGGCCCTAGTTGAGACCAATCTAACCACCTTGCGACTTGGGACCTCCAAAGTGTTGTCATTTGTGGACCTTAAGGTCCTCCGCAGGGCATACCAGGAGGGGCGGTCCCGTAAGTACGTGGGTCCATATTTTTGTATGCCTGATACATATAGAACATGCCAAGATCTGCAGTCCCTGAGGTCTTTGGAGGAGAAGCAGGAGCTGCTGCTGTGGAGGGGATGCGCTTCCTTGCAGCTGCATGGCTTCCCAACTGCAGCAGCCACCAGGCTATAAAAAGCACTTTCTGCTGACGGAGATCCATGACATCATGAAACGAGAGGGCGGGAGAGTCAGAGCCCCCAGACAGTGGCTGAAGATTTGCATGAAAATGTGAAGCAGTCTTCAACATCTGTCAGTGCTGTGGACCTTTTTGCAAGTGCCTCTATGTCCGACAAACATAACGGAGGCAGACGAAGCCTCCACATTTATAATCAGTATACCTCTGATTCTCAGATACAGGACAAGAAAGATGCGTCTGGCTGGTAACAAGGCAAAGAGTGGCCCCATGCGGAAAGGAGTTCCACAAAACACGGCCCACAAAACTTAACACAGCACAAGTGGATAGAAGGTCCCGGGTGAGTGACAACAATATCATAGGCAGATATCAAAGCAAGGGAATGACTTCTAAAAGCAAGCAAAACAAGTAAAACTGCTCCAACCAAAAGAAAACAGGATAGACTCAGCCAGAGAGGTGGGTCACACAAAACAAGATACAGTGGTACCTCAGGTTACATACGCTTCAGGTTACATACGCTTTAGGTTACAGACTCCGCTAACCCAGAAATAGTGCTTCAGGTTAAGAACTTTGCTTCAGGATGAGAACAGAAATTGTGCTCTGGCGGCGCGGCGGCAGCAGCAGGAGGCCCCATTAGCTAAAGTGGTGCTTCAGGTTAAGAACAGTTTCAGGTTAAGAACGGACCTCCGGAACAAATTAAGTACTTAACCCGAGGTACCACTGTACTTTTATCTGTCAAAGGCTGGTGGGATAAAGAGGCATTTTCAGATGCATCGGCCACACATCTCAAATTGGACATCAGAGCTGGCAATGGCTTTTTAAAGAAATGCCCCCCCCTCTAAAAATCCTCCTGCCTGGACAGCTTATTGGCTCCTCAGGAGAAACGTATAGGGAAGACAATCCCCCTGGGTCCTTCACCCCAACAGCATCTTCTTTGACTCCTTCATGCAAATGTTCCCTTGACGGCTCCACCCCTCCACGATGCAAGTTTTCTGTGCACAGACAGAAGGCTTTTCTGACCTCGTCCTGGCATGCATCCACCCCACCGAGAGAGTGTGGGGCAGGGAGGGTTGTTCCTGCCATAGCAAAGTACCCTGGAGCCCCCTTGTATTGCAGACTGGGCTGGCTGCTAGCCTCTGCCTCTGCCTCCTCCTCTTTCCCTCTCGCTCTCAAGCACTGAAAACCTGCTTTGGCACAAGACACTCCAGCTTGCCTGCTGCGCCAGCCACTTGCTCTGAGCCCCACCTTCTTCTCTCTGCTGCAGGGATGCAGGTGACCTTGAGAAGGTCGAGAGGAGACTCCAGAACTGCAGAGGCAGCTCAGATAGGAAGGCAGGCAGAGAGGGAGGGACGGAATGAGATGAGCTGCCCTCACAGAAACCTCGCTTAGAGCTTGGGGTGAGAATTTGGGGTGGCAGGGGGGGGGGGGAGACTTCTGAAAGGCAAGGTTGGTGGTGAGAGCTATATGTCAATGTAGAAATAGTCTATCCTTTCCTAGCGCTGCCTTTCTTTTAAAAAAGAGGTGTCACTGGCCACTCCCTTCCAAGGGAAAACTCCCTCTTTAGCAATAGATCGGAAGAAATGGCAATCTGGGGGAAACCTGAATTGCCATTTGTTCCAAATGAGCACCAAAGAGCTGTTTTCACTGGGGGAAAGCAGTGGGAGAAGAGGAAATGTAGATGAACCCCCACATCATACATTTAATGCACTGTGATACCACTTTAAATACCCAAGGAATTCTGGGAGCTGTAGCTTGTTAAAGGGTGCAGCCTCTGGGGCTTTCAAGTTAAGAGAAAAGGCAAGGAAAAAGTGACTTCATAGAGATTTATAAAATTATGCTTAGCCTGAAGAAAATGGATAGAGAAAAGTTGTTTTCCCTCTCTCATAACACTAGAACTTATGGACACCCAATGAAGCTGCATGTGGGAAGATTCAGGACAGGTAAAAGGAAGTGGGGGTGGGGGTGGTTACTGGGTTGTTGTTTTTATTTTGATTATATATTTTGTGTTTTTCTATATTGCTTTTGTTATGTCACCTCCGGGTATAGGGCGGTATATAAATTCAATAACCAACCAACCACCAACAACAACAAACAACTATGGAACTCAGTCCCATAGGAGGCAGTGATGGCCACCAACCTAAATGGCTTTAAAAGAGAATAAGACAAATTCATGGCAGAGAGGACTATCAATGGCTTCTAGCCAGGATGGCTCCTCCTCTGTATGTGGAGGCAGCGATACTTCTGAATACCAGTTGCTGGAAACCACAGCGGGGCAGGGTACCCTTGTGCTCAGGTCCTGCTTGTGGGTTTCCCATTGGGAACAGGATGCCGTGAGAACAGGACGCTGGACTGGATGGGCCTCTGGTCTCATCCTGCAGCCTCTTCTGACGTTCTAATGTCCAGCTTTTGTCGTGGTCCCCTCCACACACAGCAGTGCTGCAGAACGTATGGGCGGTCCAGTATAAGTCCACAACTAAAGCACTCTCATTGCATCGATTACATGTTGCAGAAAACACCTGCAGAAGTTCTACTACTCTGAAGGGTCCCCAATAATCCTTTTGAACCCCCTTCCCCTGAAACAGGCAGTACATTCTGCCAGTGGCGTAGCGTGGGGGGTGCAGGGGGGCCGGCCGCACCGGGCACAACATCTGGGGGTTAGGGTTAGGGTGCGCAAATCCACGGTTAGGGGGCGCAAATCCATGGGTTAGGGGGTGCAAATTACTTGCCTTGCCCCGGGTGCTGACAACCCACGCTACGCCACTGCATTCTGCTGCTTTCTACTTACCGAGGTGTCTTCAGAGCAGGATGCAATGACGTTTTCAATAAAAGGGTTCCACTTAATGTCGAGCACGTTCCCCTGATGGCCGCACACTTTGGGGTAGTTTGGTTCAATCCGGCCAGTCTGCAAAAACAGAGCAAGAATTTGGGATCAGCAACTTTTCAACAATTCAAGTACAAATGTTTCAAGACCGCCGCCTGCCGTTTACAGGGAGTCATCTGTGACCCAAAAAAGGCACTGGAAGTACTCGGTTTAGAAGCATTTATGTTGTCGTTGTTACTGGGGTCTCATCCAGACGATGTGCCACAAGTCCGGAAATGTTTAAAGTTCTGTGTCTGAGCGGGCTCTTTTTCGGTCATTTCCACAAAGTCTGGGTGAGGTTGTTGGGTTGGCTGAGGCACAAACAAAGTCACGGCGAAAGGAGCGGCCGGATTGTGATTTGGAAGAGTTGGCCTTCTTGCAAGGATAGGGCTGCTTTGAAGCTCAGTCAATGTCAAGAGCTTCAAAGGTTCGCTGGAGATAGTGGCAGACTTGCAGGTAATTTCTACTGTGTGCCAGGGATCCTGTTTTGACACTGCTTCACTGGGAGGCTCATTTAATGCGGCTCCCCTTTCATCGCTTCACATCTCACCGCTTCAAAGTTCCCTAGCTCCCCTCGTCCAGGGATGGGCGCCTTGCCATCTATAAATACACAGAAGTGTGTTGTTCTGATGGCAGAGAGCAGACAGGCAGGGAGATGAAACCAGACCAGGTGGGTGGATGGAAAGGGGGACGGATTCTGAATAGTCTCTCCCCTCCCGGCGACACCACATGACTTCCCGCAATTCTCCTTTTTGAAAAATAAAAACAAAACCCTCCCTCTAGCCAGTGCCGGATTTATGTATAAGCTAAACAAAGTATAGCTTAGGGCCCCACTCTCTTGGGCCCCCCCAAAAAAATTAAATGAAAAACACACACATCTGGATGTACATTTCCAAAATATAAGGTAGAAAACAAATAAAATACAATTTCAGTTCAACAATTACTTTGATAAAATACATATTTTGTTATGTGCAAATGGCTTTAGATACCTATTAGGTCCATATATTACCACATAGCATATATTCAACACAAAAAACAGTGCCAATTTGTTGTTGACAAAGGACAGCTGGACATATAAAGGGCCCCATTACCTTTAGTAACTTAGGGCCTCATCAGCCCTAAATCTGGCCCTGCCTCTAGCGCAGGGACGGGAAAGCCTTGTGGACCCGAGGGCCACATTCCGTACTAGGCAAGCTTCTGGGGGCCGCATGGCAGTTGTGGGTGGGACCAGAGGCAAAAGTTGGCGGAGCAACTGATGTCTATGTTACCTTTGTGCCGTAGGCCAGTTTCTAGACAGGCTGTTACCCCCTCATCCTTCCAGGCAAGCAAGCAAGGGGAACCCTCAGAAGTCAAGGGCAAATTCCAGCCAGGCAAAAGCCCTTGAGGAAAGTGTGATGTGAGGCTGGTGAGGGGCAAGGCCTGCAAAGAGGGGGTGCAGCTTGGGAAAATTTGGAGGGCCAGGTGGAGAGCTCTGGAGGACTGCATTTTGCTCCCTGGCCTGATATTCCCCACCCTGCTGCTGCTGCTGCACAGATGCATATTCTCCCCTAAGACAGCTAGACTTTGTTTTATTCACTGCATTCATATCCCACCTTTTCCTCCAAGGAGTCAAAGGTGGCTTCTCCTCATTTCATCTGCACAACAACCCTGTAAGGTAGGCTAGGCTGAGAGATGGCAGCGGCTGACCCCCAAGGACTCCAGGGCCAAGTGGGGATTTGAACCCTGGTCTCCAGAGTCCTAGTCCGATGCTCTAACCACTACACCACACTGCCTCTCGCAACCACAAAATGGGCTACACCTAGCCAGCGGCAGATGCTCGAGCTCACTGGAAATGCAGCATAAGGGCTTGCTCTGCATCAAGATAAACCTCTTGAAGCTGCCAGCTCAGTTGGTGACAGCAGTGATGCAGTGGCCAGGTATTAAATGAGGAAGCTATTCTGGAGCAAGGAGCATGGGGAATACTCTCTCTTTCTCCTTCCCAGCCTTGCATGGCTCTCTGTCCCTCCTCTTTATTGTCCCGTCCAGTCCCATTGCAATGCTTCTGACTCCCAGTTGTGAAGGTAAGGGAGGGAAGCCTCTTCCCCCCCTGCTGAGTTTGTGGGATTCCCACTGGGGCATCTGGAAGATTTAATCCACTTGCAGAGCTAAGTTCTGCTCTTCTTCAGGGCTCGGGTCCTCAAATCTCCCTACAGAAGCAAGCCAGAGATAAGAATTCCTCTTCTCACAATGGCCAACCAGATGCATGAATGGAAAGTTCCCAAACAAGACAAATTCCCCCTCCTGGAATTCCCATCAGCTGGTATTCAGAAGCATCACTGCTTCCGACAGTGGAGGGAGACCATAGCCATCCTGGCTAAAAAGGTAAAGGACCCCTGACAGTTCAGTCACGAACGACTCTGGGGTTGCGGCGCTCATCTCGCTTTACTGGCCAAGGGATCCAATGTTTGTCCGCAGACAGTTTTTCTGGGTCATGTGGCCAGCATGACTAAGCTGCTTCTGGCGAAACCAGAGCAGGGCACGGAAACGCCGTTTACCTTCCCACCAGAGAGGTACCTATTTATCTACTTGCACTTTGACGTGCTTTCGAACTGCTAGGTTGGCAGGAGCTGGGACTGAGCAATGGGAGCTCACCCCGTCGTGAGGATTCGAACCACCGACCTTCTGATCAGCAAGCCCTGGGCTCTGTGGTTTAGACCACAGAGCCACCCGCATCCCTAGTAGCCGTCAACTGCTTTCTCCTCCATGAGTTTTTGTCTAATCCTCTGTTTTAAAGCCATCCAAGCTGGGGACCATCACTGCCTCCTGTGGGAGCAAATTCCATAGACATAGAATCATAGAGTCAGAAGGGACCCTGAGGGTCATCTAGCCCAACCCCCTGCGATGCAGCTGTCCCATACGGGGATTGAACTTGCAACCTTGGCGTTATCAGCACCATGCTCTGTGTGCCGTGTGAATAAAGACTTTATTTTATCTGTCCTGAAAAGTCCTATGCAGGCTGGAGTGACAGCAATTTCAAAGCAAGCCCAAGCTTTATTTTCAAAAGCTGAGAAAGAGATATTTAATCCACATTAAACTGGATTATTTGCCTGAATAAATGTATACAGAGAAACAATTTTCGAGAGGATAGTTTAAGCAAGGTTTTAACCAGCAGAGGGTGCCAACAGGCACCCTTACAATCACCAGCTCTTTTGGCAAGATATATCTGGCCACTGAACAGCTACCGTTCCTGAATAGCATCATGGAATTATAGGAGTTGGAAGGGACCACGAGGGTCATCTAGTCCAACCCCTGCCATGCAGGAATCTTTTGCCCAGTGTGGGACTCGAACCCACAACCCTGAGATTAAGAGTCTTATGCTGTACCGACTGAGCTATCCTGTTACATTCAAGAAAAGGTCAGTCATGTTTTCATATATATCCTGAATGACAGTCCTGTTTTTAGATTGCTTAAAAAAGAAAAAAGAAAAAGATAAGGGGGAAAGTCACCTGCAGGTCAAGGCCCATCGAGTCTTTCCAGGAAAGTGTATTTGCAAAAATAAGATCAGGGGAAAATCTAACCTACTGTCATTGTCCCTATTGTGAAATGCAGTCTTCGTCACCTCAAAAGTCGTGGATTCATCACTCTCACCAGAAAGGTGATAAACTGCCTGGAAAGGTGACCTGACCTGCTTGCAGCCGCAAAACTGAATCAAGGGCTAAACTTTCAGTTAGTAAATAACTGGTTCCTCCTTTCCACCATATGCATGGAAATGGTGGGGGCCCACTGCTGTCTAAATCTTGGGGGAGCCTGGTTTTGGGAATGCATCAGCGCCATCCCTTCACCCTTGGATTTTGCTCTTGGGTATCCAAGCCTAGTCACAAAGAATCAAGCATGAATTTCACCAGCAAGCCTAAGAAACCAGGTAAGCTGGAATGAAGAGAAGAAATGTGTGATTGCCTTTCTTAAGCTGCATGGGAATGCAGCCTTTTCAACCAGCTTACAGATGTGTGAAATGCAATAGCCTTACACAGATCAGAAGAGCCTTGCAACTAGATCAGTCCAGTGGACCAACTAGTCCAGCATCTTCTCACGGTGGCCAGCCAGATGCCCCTGATTGGATGCAGGACCTGAGTGCAACAACCACTCTTCCAATTGTTGTTCCCCATTATTTGTATTTAGAGGTAGAGTGTCCCTGGGCATGGAGGTTCTACTATCACAAGAGACTTCCTTAAGGTCTAGCCCAGCATCCCGTTCTCACAGTGGCCAACCAGACATGACAATGGGAAATATGCAAGCAGGCCCTGAGTGCAACAGCAACTCTCCCCTCCTGCAGCTTCTGGCAACTGGTGTTCAGAAGCATTGCTGCCAGTTTCCAGCCTTGCTGGTGAAAAGAGAGAGAGGCTGACGGCTGGCTTCATTTTTCACTCTAGTGCAGGCATAGGCAAACTCCGGCCCTCCAGATGTTTTGGACTACAATTCCCATCATCCCTAGCTAACAGGGCCGGTGGTCAGGGATGATGGGAATTGTAGTCCCAAACATCTGGAGGGCCGGAGTTTGCCTATGCCTGCACTAGTGCAGGAAACTGCAGCAGAGCCCAGCAAAGACTAAAATAGTTGCTAGCTGAGGATGCCTGCGCTTTTCATTCTCTGCACCCCTTCCCACTCCCTTCCCCTAAAATGAGGCATTCAAGGTCACACAGGAGGACATGCCTGGCAGATGGGGGAGCAGAGATAAGGGGCGAGAGATTAGCCTGTCTACCATGTGGCCTGTCAGGTCTGCTGCCAAGCAACCTAAATACAAGCTCTGGCCAAGAGGGCCCCCAACCTCTTGCAGATGCTCATTTCTCTCAGAGATGTTTTGGTTTGGGAGTCACTCCAGAATGACAAGGGCAGGCCGGTGTGGACACCACAGGTCCCCAAGGGTGCAGTGGACACGAGACATTGGCTCCCTGGTGCAGAATTCAGCTTGCTTTTAAAGGATTAAACAAGTTCCTTTGACTGCATCGTTGCAGGAAAACATTTGGCAACATTTCCGTGACCTTCTTTCCCCTCTGTCGCTCACT